AGTTATGAAAATATCATGGATACTGCTTCTCAAGCCATAACTGATATGCATAGAGAAGATGTGGGAAAAAGTCGTACATGCATTGAAAACTCGTAAAAAAAAAGTCGTACAAAAAATCCGAAAATGATAATTTTCGGATTTTTTGTTAAATTATGTTGATGAAGGAGCAAACTGCAGATATCATCGAATATTGGAAGACCAACCATACAAGATTTCTTTATCTCAGCAAACTAGCAAGGAAGATATTGTGCATCTCTGCATCATCAGCTACCTCGGAATATGTAATTTCAACTACTGGAAATGTTCTATCAAAAAGAAGAAATAACCTTAACATTGACAATATTGAAATGATGGTTTTCATGAAAGAAAACTTGCAAAAAATTGAAAATATTACCTGGCTGATGTACAAAGAAGATAACAAAAAATATGAAAATATGTGCAAAAAATATACATTTAAAGTTGGCATTTATACAAAAGCTCTAAAACTCATTTCAAACAATGGCTACAAAAAGAAACCTCTATCGGTTCAACTTGTAATTGATAACAAGAATATTCAACTAACTGCTTCCATTGATAAAGTAATTCTGCTCTTATCTAACTGTAGTATCTGACAGACCCCAAATGAATTTTAATACTTCAAGTAGTCAAACAAAACAAATAGAAGATTTCATCCATTTTATCTCCAGAATTATTATTTGTAGCAGGTTGTACAAAAATAGTAAAGAAAAAAGAAGCTAAAGCAGTTTTGAAATTATCAGAATTTTAAGAAATTATGAGTTTTGGTTTGAAAAATAATTTTAAAGCAAAACTTTTATATTATTGTATACACAAAAATGTTTAGGTTTAAGCTTTAGGTTCTTTTTTATCTGAGTTATGTAGTAGTTTCATGAAATATAAAATAGAGCTCTGGAACTGCATAAAAACACCTAAAGTTAGTAACTGGCTATATGCTTAATCTTTTAAATGCATGAAATAATTTTCAATCAGACTGACACATTAATATTAGTTTAGTTTATAACTTTGATGTATTAAGAAACTTATACTAGTAACTATGCAAAATGAATCATTGCCAGGCATTTCAGGTATCACTATCAACAAAAATGCACTGCATTTGTAGTATTAAAATACTCATTGTTGTTGAGTTGGGATATACAATACAATAAAGGTAATACTTTTGTCCAGTGTATATTTATTATAATTTATAAAACATGTGGCTTCTAAGTAATTTAGGCATCCATAGCAACCTAAAAATAAAACTAATGTCACTATTAAAACCACAAAAAACAGTCAAAATAATTCCATTTATTATTATTGTTATTAGTATTATTATCATTGTTTACATATAATATGCAGAATTTAATTTATTTTAAAGCTCATTAATTACTTAAAAAATATGATGCATCAAAACAAATTAATTTTATTTAAACTTTATTAACTTATTGAGTTTTAATATTGTGTGGTGTAGTGGTTAATAAATTTAATCATGGTGCCTGCCCATTCTTTAAATAAAACCAAACTAATAAACGGATATGAAAAATTAGAGAATCCCTGGAGATTAACAAAGCGAAAGTTTGATATGAGATAAGTATTGGGGAAGGTGTTCTAAATCAAGATTTAACTGTAATTTAACTGACATCATTATTATATTATTTAATTGGTTTTTATATTTGACGCTTTATAATGTCTTCTTTTTAAACGGTTTGTTTTATGTTATTTTGTAACGTTTTATTATTACCTGATGATGCTGACCACAATAGGTCAGCGATATATCATTAATATATTTTGACATCAAAATATATTTAAAAATAGTTATATGCTGCCTTTTTATTAAAATCAATTTACATATATATATATATATATATATATATATATATATATATATATATATATATATATATATATATATATATATATATATATATATTATATATATATATATATATATATACATATATATATATATATATATATGTATATATATATATATATATGTATATATATATATATATATATATATATATATATATATATATATATATATATATATATATATATATATATATATATATATATATATATGTATATATATATATATGAGATTATTTTTAAGTTCAAATTCCCCTTCTAAGCAGTTAGTAGGCAATTAGATAGAACCTTAAGTAAGCCTCAAGGTTCTATCTTTGAGGGTTTCTTAAGGTAACCCCTGAAGTTACTGGAAATGAAGAAGAATTCTGTCCATTGAGGACAACTTTTGTACTACAATTAGTAAGAAAAGATTCAGTAGTATTAAAGATGTTACCTGATACTCCATAAGAAGAACACTTATGCAGAAGACCAGCATGCCAAACTTTTAAAAGAACACAAACAGAGTTTCCAAAAAGTGCAATAAATACTGGACAAGTGATGCAGCAATAAATTAGCACAAGAAAGGTTACAAAAAACAAAAGATTGGAAAAATCAAAAGACTGAAGTGGACAGTGAAAAGAGTGTAAGTGAAAGTGAATATAAAAATAAAAGTGAGAATGTTAGTGAGGAGATTGTTGATAAAAAAAAATTGAATGGTATTCAATTTGTTTAAGTCACTGTTTTTGGAAATATAAAATACTTGCAACAAGAAGCCTTTTAGAATTTTTTTTTTTGTTAACTGGTTTTTATTTTAAAAAAATATCATATTAACTAAAAGTTTTAAGCTTTTTGATTAATTTAAGTGTTAGAGATACTAAAATGTACTGAAAGATATTTGAGGGTTTTGAAAAGATTCTGAAGAATGTTTTAGAAGTTATGATGTAAATAAGAAAATATGATGTAAACACTATGATGTAAACAAGGAAATGATTTGTGATGTTTAGATGTTAGTTAGACCAAATTGAGTTACAAATTAAACCTTGTGTACAAAAAAACAACAACAGTTAAAGCCTATAAGAAAATATACAGAAAAATGGTTTCTTGGTTATCCAGTTAAAAAATTTTCTGAAGCCAATCTTTCATCCTATCAAGTGTGTTGTTTGAGATGCTGTACTTTCAAGATTTTTCTTCTGGAGTCAACACACTCCTATCTTAACTATTGCTTATCAAGTATTGAATTATGTAAAGACATTTATGATAAAGCTTGCCTGAAACTTATGAAAAGACAAAATAGTCATTACAAAATTGTTTTTTTCTACAATGAATGGTCTTCTCTGAAAAACATTTTGATTCGATTTGATTTATTTTTTGATTTAGAATTCACAAGTGAATCTCCAAATCAAATAAAAAAATTGTGAAGAATTCAAAGAAAAGATAGTTAAAAAAAAGATGTTTTGTGACTTATTTATTATTATTTGCTTCTCTGCTGCTGATTTCATTGAAACAATTAAAAATGAATGAACTGTTGCTTGTTTTTGATCTGTTGCCTCAAGGAAGAAAGATATTGACTTTTTGGATTAAAGATCAACTAGAAAGATTAACTTTAAAGGAGCAACAATAAAAAGAATCCCAATCGGCTTTATCAAAAAACTTAAGATAATAAAGAAGAAAATTTTAAAATAAAAAAAAAATTATAAAACTTCCAATTTCCACATTGTTCCAAACAAGAAAAAATAAAATGGTTTCTTTAACTCTGGCAAGAAACATCTTTGATGATCCTGATACTGTTTCAACGTCAGGTTGAGCTAAAATCTCCAGCAATCAAGCAATCCAAACATCATTAAAAATTATCCAAACATCATTAAAAATAAAACCTGCCACTGCTTTTAAAAACTAACTTACTTTCCAACAAAGAATGCTTGTCATGCCTAAACTATCAAGAACATCAATGCAAGTAAAAAACAATATCTTTGTTTCACCAGTACTTTTGGACCCTTTTCAATCTTCTAGAAATAAACGGTTTGGTCATCGTACCTGCAATCAACAAATCAAAGGGGGAAAAATCAGTGCTTTCAAAACGTTTTTGTTCTATGCAAAAATATCAATGTTTTTGTTCTATGCACAAATGACACAACAGAGAAAAGAATTGTAATAATCACAAACTGTACAAAATTTGATGAAAATGAAGAATAATAATGGACTTTGGAGTTTAGCAAAATTGCATTAATTGATTGTTTTCTTGAAATCAAA